CACTCGGGCCTATGTCCCGGCGGGCTGCCTTGCTCTACCTGACCTGCAACTTCACACATGGGAAGCTGCCCTCAATCACTTCAGTGAGCGCTCTGCAAGAGGACCTGATGGCATTCATGCCGCAGATCTCAAAGCCATGCCCTCACCTTTCAAAGCAGTGCTTCTGGATCATTTTCGAGGCATCGAAGCGGGAGCCCCCTGGCCGGAGCAACTTCTACAGGGCCTTGCCACTGGAATCGCCAAGGTCCACGATGCCACCAATGTCGATCAATTCAGACCCATTGTGGTGTTGAACATGACTTACCGGGCGTGGTCCTCGATCAGGTCTCGACAGATCCTAAAGCTCCTGGAACCCCTGCTGGACTTCCCTTCCTTTGGCTTCCTTCCCACCAGGGAGACCAAGCAAATCTGGCTCCCATTGCAGGGCCTCATTGAGCTTTCATCACAACAGCACCATTCCCTACTTGGCCACGTTGCAGACATCTGCAAAGCCTTCAACTGTCTTCCACGCCGACACGTACAAGCTCTTGCTCCCCACATTGGTCTACCACGTAATCTGGTTGGCGCTTGGCATCGCTTTCTTGGAGGCCTTCACCGACACTTTCGGGTACGCGATACTGTTGGACCACCCATCTCCAGCAACAACGGATACCCGGAAGGCTGCGGCATGAGCTGCCTCGCGATGGTCATTGTGAGTTGGTGCTACCACACCTATCAATCGATCTACGCGCCGAACTCCATTGCGCTCTCCTATGTGGACAACCTCGAACAGGTTGCCAGCAACATTGGGGACCTCATGACCTCGATCATCACTCAGGACTCCTTCATGGAGCTCTTTCAGCTTGCCACAGATCACAACAAGACCTATGCCTGGGCTCTCCAAGCAAGAGATCGCTCCTTCCTTCAACAACTTCGTCTTGAAGTGGTCGATCAAGCGAAAGACCTTGGTGGCCTAATGACCTATGGACGCCAACGACGTACTGCCTGTCATGAAGATCTCCTTCGGCAAGTGAAGCCCTGCTGGTCACAGCTGCAAAGGGCCAACTCTCCGGAACCATGCAAGCAGCGGGTCATCTACCAGGCTTTGTGGCCCAAGATCTTTCACTCGGCCTCCATCTCGGACCTGGGCATTCAACACATCAAGCAGCTCAGGACCAAGGCGGTTCGCGCACTTGGACACGGACGTGCAGGCGCGGCTCCGGCGCTACGGCTTGGACTTCTTTCCAATCGCACCCTCCTGGATCCTGGCTTCTACCAGCTATGGCACATCGTACAAGATTTCAAACGTGTCCTGAGCAAGACACCTTCCACGTTGGAACATTGGCAGTACTACATGGAGGCCTACGACGGCACACTGGGAGCAGGACCATTCTCTACCATTCTTCGACAACTCCACCAAATCGCGTGGCGGGTTACTACTCCACCTCTACTTGTTGATCACGACAACATCACCTACAACCTTCTCCTCATGTCGCACCAGCAGCTTTTCCATGCCCTCGAGGATGGATGGCATCAATATCTTGCTCGGGGAGTACAACACCGGAAGGACTACACTGACTTGGACGGCATCAATGGCGCCCTCTGCAGAAGCTCACTCAAGGGCCTCACTGCCCTGGAAACAGCTACCATCAATGCGCAGCGAGAAGGAGCCTTCTTCACTGCGAGTGCCCATCGCAAGTACGACTGCCTTTGCTCCGGCACCTGCCGACACTGTGGAGAGGAGGACACGATCACACACAGGTGCCTTCAATGTCCTGCACTCGCTGATGTACGGCACACACATCATGTTGCTGTAAGGCTTTGGCACGATTCACCCGTTTGTTTACGGGAAAGACTCCTGCCACCAAGAAACCTCTACCATGCCCAGATCAAGGAGGCGCTCCAGAACATTCCCAACCGCTGTGAACAATTCGAATTTCTCGTTGAGGGTGCTGAGGAAGTTCACATTTTCACAGATGGTTCATGTACCTGTCCCACAACAACGGTTACCAAGCTAGCAGCGTGGTCCGCCATCTCTGCCACCCACGGAAGAACCATAGCAGCTGGCCCACTGGGAGGAATCCTGCAATCCAGCAACCGGGCTGAACTCCAAGCAATCATCACCTCGGTTCACTGGCTACTTCGTTGTCACCTACGCGGACATGTTTGGTCAGATTCCTCCTATGCCGTCACCGGCACTTGGAGGATACTTGCGGACCCAACCGACCTTCCACGCAGCAATGGTGATCTATGGCAGTGCCTTCGGGACGCCTGTGATCTACTTCAGCCTGGTCAACTCCGAGTTTATCACCTCGCAAGTCATCAAGACCCCTTGGACTGCAACGACCCTGCTGATGCATGGACTGCAATGTGGAATGAGCAAGCCGATGTCGTCGCAAAGTTCTATAATCAACATCGGGGTCGAGACTTTGCCGGGCTGTGGGACAAGTACCAAGCCGCTGAGGCCGACATGAACCTCCGCATGGACAAACTACTCCGCTTTCACCTTGAGGTTGCTGAACGCTTTCGCCTCCCTGCAGGCCATGAAGATCCTGATCCAGACTCAGTTGAGTCGCAGCCCCCTGAGCCGGCCTTTTTGATCGAAAGGCCCAACGTGATTGACTCCTGGACCGAGTGGGTCCCTCCTGATTTCGTGCACACCTCTCAAGGCCAGCAGATTGCTGCCGTTTTTGGGCCTGTCTTCACTACACAGGTCGTAGAGTGGCTGACAAAACAGCACTTGCACTCTGATTTTGCAATCCATTTTTCATGGCTTGAACTCGTTGCGATTCTTCGTCATGATGGCATCCTTTTTCCGGTTCGGGTTGCTTCAAGCCATGGAGAAAGGTGGATGGATGCGACAACGCATTCATTGTACGCACTCGCACCGCCCACCGTTGCCTTGGACCTTAGACTCACTCGAGCCTTTTTTCGCGCTGTTGCGGCCACGCTTCAGCTGAGCATCGGTGAGGTACGGGGTTTAAACCTCGCCCAGCTTCGAGTCAGTCCACCTCAATCGGGACTGACACTTTCTCTTACTGCGAATGCAGTTCACTTTGCGGAAAATGCCATCAGAGCATTCACAAGCTCCCGCCCGATCAGGGTCACCAATGACCTTGCTCGACCTTTTAGGTCCATCTAGGATGACCGACTGAACCTGCGTGCCACACTGCTGCCGCTGTGTGCGCGCCCGCAAGGATGTGAGGATGTCTCCAAGAAGGATCGACCCTGGATGGAAGTAGAGGGTTGTTTCATCTGTGTTTGCTTACGGAGCCCGCAAAATGGGTCATTTCCCTTCCGGCATCCCTTTGAAACCGACCAAAAAGGGTACCCTCAAAACAAGACACGTGTCAACATCAATCCTGTTTGGAGTGGGTCGGATGCGCGGCGTTGCACCATCCGCACTGTCGGATCCTCCCACACTCAGGCCGCTAGGTCAGAACTCGCATGATCACCACCAAGGAATACTAAAGACCCAAAGGGCGTTCCTGAAAATCAGGGACCCCTTCAAGAAAAGTGGCTTCCTCTTGCTTGTATTTCCAAGGGCGCGGTTGACATTTTAGTATTTGAGTCAAAGAGATGAAGAAACGCGAAGCATGGCAACAAGTGGACAGGGACTTGTGCCCTCCCAGCATGTGCCGCCTGCTTGCTGGTCTCTCCCCCCCGCCCCCCCTCACCTCTTCTAAGTGGAGCCGACGCTGTCCAAGCTTCAGAGCAAGAACTCATGCGCCCTCTGTTTTCTTGGTTTTGTTGGGGTCGGGGTGCGTCCGGTGGAGCCTGCAACCGCCTCAAAAACGGGCGCCGTTGCGCACATCTGTACTAACACCTCCCCGTGCCGGGCCGAAGACAAGAACAACAATAAAATAATCATGTTTTACGTGAGGCGGTTGGCATAATCCGCTTTTGCTCGGGCCCAAGGCGCCTATCGTCTGAGGTTTATGGGGGCCATTGTTGGGGCAACATGCTCATGCGTTCACATCCGAATCTTGGCGGGTCCCATTCCCAACAATGGCTTCAATGGCTCTGCCTGCCTTGCAAAGTCCGTATTTGCCCTCCTGAGAATCGCCCTCAGCAAGGCTGAGCTCCCTAGCCGCTGGTCTTGGGGTTGAGGTTCAGGTGAGTTCGGCTTAGAGGTGTGTTTTTTGTTTAGCTTCCGGCCACAGACGCGCTATGCGGGGGAGAGGGCGCGCGCGTCAAAGGATCAGTGCTCCAAGACCAGGCGCTAGCAGCGGGCGGACTTCGCGGCTCCGCCGAGGGCCCAGTGGCGAATTCACGGCTGGCTGCTTAAGTTAAGGAAGCGTCAATGGCGTCGCCGATTTTACGACGTGGTTTTGTTGAGCTCTGCAGGGGGGGTTCAAACCAAAATTGCGCCGTGCCTTCCTTGCTGGTGCTCAGTAGGGAATGACCCTGGAATGGCCCTACGTGGGGATTCTCTTAAAGGAAACCATAGGGGATGGTTCGTTGGGGTCATTCCCTCATTCCCTGCTGAGAACCAGCAAGCGTCATTGGATCGCAGTTTGGCTCCGAGCAATTATGAGATACTTTGCGAATCGCACTCTTCATACGCGCCTCGGCCTTGAACCAGCGAGTGCTGCTGCCAGAGAGAGGCCGAAGGGGTGGCCCGGGGTAAGAGTTTGACCCTGGCTGGTGTGTCAGACCATGAACCATGTGCTGAATGTACAGACTTCGTGAAGACGTTTTTAGCTCTGGGATGGTGCCCGTGAGGATCCATGTTCACCTGAATGACTCAAGCACTCTCAATTTGGGTGGATACAGACAGTAGTCGGTAGTTTAGAGGTCAGCCACCTCTAGGGCTAAGTTCAAGTATGTGTTGTTTTGATGGGCTGATATTCAAAGGGAGCCCAAGATGAAGAACTTACTGGGCGTGCATTCCATTTAAGTGGAAATCCCGCTTTCGGGGTCTCAAAACACCCCATGACCCACCAGGTTCTACTTAAATCCAGGGTCGACAAGTGGATGCGGGAGCTGGAGGGACGGTTCGTTCCCCATTTCAGGACCTCATGCGATTGAAACGGCTGAGATGGCTGACGCCCGGCCGCAAGAGTGGCAGAAGTGGGACGGGACGGGACGGGTTCTTCAGCTTTTGAGTGGACTGGGATGAACCCCAAGACGTTAACCCTCCAACCGACCGACCACTCAACCGGAAGACTCTGTGCAGTCTGACGCCGAGTTTCCCTCAAGCAACCTGGGATCTCAATGTGCAGCGCATCAGCTTAGCGAGAAATGGATGTACATCTCGCGCAAGGGACGGGTGTGTCGTTTTTTCTTTCTTCTTCTTCTTCTTCTTTTTTTGTTGTAAGGATACCCCTTGGTAGGTTTTAGAGGAACACAAAAGGAAAACCGTTAGGCCATTTTGGGGGTCCGAATCCTAAAAAAGACGACCCCAATCATATTTGGCATGTTTTGGATGGGAGAACCCATCCCAGGTCCCCAAAATATGTGTTTGATCGACAAGAAGTCTCAGGATGGATTTTGAGGCCAACGCCTCCAAGAGCTTGCTAACAATATGGCTGTGACTTCTCATAGGGAGCCACCTGAAAAGTGGTTGCTGGATGAGGCCTTCTGAAACCCCACCTACATACTGTCCACCAAAGGGTTCCCGTTAAATTCACACATATCATGCTGGTATTGTGCCTGATGGCCGTCTTGGGACAGACAAGACTGGCACCGCACCAAGGCGACGTCAGATATTGGATGTTGTCGAATCAACAGTGCTGGATATTGCAAAGAGATTCGAACTAAACCCTTTCGGTCGCACTTCATCCCGGAATTTGGAAGGTTGACTCAGTTCAGTGGCACCAGTTGGCCCTTGTTGTTTGGTGTCTTTGCTACTGAAGCGACGGTGTTCCCCAAAAAGTGCTCCCCTTTGCTGCCAGGGTCACGGGCAGAGCAGATCGTGGGAGCTTGGGAACTTAAGGCCTCCGAAAACACTTGGAGGGTTTTTACCCCGAGCAGCTGTGCCTCGCGCAGAAACTGCTTTTCGAACCTGAGTTGCGGTGTTTGGGCACCAACCCTCGTACACCCTGATACTCCGAACCCCGAAATGCAATCCTAGGCTATTTGGGGGGGTCCCCCAGATTTGTTTCCTCTCCGCAAAAACCGGCCGGACGTCGCATCAGGCTGCTGCTCATCATAGATGACAGCTGGGCCGCGCGCCCACGCCTCAGATGGCCCGGGGGAAGAAACGCACGATTCGTCTGGGGTAGCTTCCGGTTTGACACAGCCGTGTTTGTGCATATTTTTTGTGTTTTTCCCCACCCGACAGGAAGGGGTTGTTTGATTTTACGTTGGAATCCGCGTTTGCGATGCTTCTACACCACGCCCCCACCCAGTATCCCGCCAGAGCAGCTCGCCCCCGCCAGAGCAGCCGAGTATCCCGCATTATCCCGCCAGATCTGCTCGCCAGTGGATCCCACCGAGTAGCTGCTCGCCAGTGGATCCCGCCGAGTCCCGCCAGAGCGGCTGGCCAGTTGGATCCCGCCAAGTATCCCGCCGAGTATCCTGCCAGAGTAGCTCGCCAGTGGATCCCGCCCCAGAGCAGCCCGCCAGTGGATCCCGCCGAGTATCCCGCTGAGTATCCCACAGCACGTTACTGGATCCCGCCAAGTATCCCACCAGAGCAGCCCGCCAGTGGATTCCGCCGGGTGTCCCGCTGACCATCCCAGAGCCAGCGGATCCCGCCCGGTGTCCCGCTGAGTATCCCGTGATTCTGCCAAGCATCCGGCCAGTAGCCGGAGCGGATCCCGCCAGTATCCCGCCAGAGCATCTCGCCAGTCGGTTTTGCTTAATGTCCAAAAGGGCCGATGGGAATTTTGGAGTCGAAGTCTCCTCGTGAGTGTGGAGGGTGGGGATTGCTCGAAGCGAAGTTCTTTTTTTTGGGGGGGAGGGTTGTGTTTTTTGTTTTTTTTGTTTTTTTTTTTTGGGGGGGGGGCGGGGGAGGGCAAGCTTTCATAGCAGGTCTGCGAAGCTCAAGTGCACCTGGTGCGATTTTTTGCTTTTCGTTGCCCTTTAACTCGAGGATCAAGGAGGGGTAGCCTCAAGACAATCAGCTCGCGCCACGCCTTGTCACTGGAGGTCCGGAGAGCCGGGAAGCGGCGCTGCTGATGGGCCACGATCCCGTGGTTCGGCCGCAAGTGGTTGAGTCACCCCAACAGTTGGACAGCATCTCCCCAGCAGAAAGCCTTGGGGTCTATGCCCAGATGGGCCTGTTGCGTGTCCCAACTTGGCTTGTTCAGGGCCATGAAATGATCTATCAGTTGACTTCACTAACCTCTTTCTTTGGGGCCGCAAACCAAAACAGGGCTGGGGGTGGACAAAAACAACTCCAGGGAGCCGGGGACAGCCCGCCGCCTGGGCCACCGCCGCCTGGGCCACCGCCGCCAGCGGGGGGCCCGGCGCCGCCACCAGCGGGGGCGCCACCGCCAGCGGGGGGCCCGGCGCCACCGCCGGACGGGGGCGGGGCTCCGCCAGCAGGGGGTCCGGCGCCGCCGCCAGATGCAGGGCCTGCCCCACCGCAGGCCTCGCGCGCGATGTTTTGAAATGGCAACGACTGTCAACCCAGCCCCCGTCAATGGGGCCAGGCCATGGTTGACCTGTAGAGGTAGCCTCCCTTGGCAAATTTACGAGATTGTTTGGTTTGACATGCGGGCGGCGGACCGGATAAAAAATGTCTCAACCGGAAGCCAAGCAGCTAGCTTGACTGATCATGTTGGAGTGGCAAGGACACACATCCCATGTTCATTGCTTTGGACGGAACGTTCATTTGTGTGTTTTCTTAGGCTTCTTTTTGGGGTGGTTGTTTAACCTGGAAAAGGGTCGAATTCCAAACCGCTTCAAGCCAATCACGTAAGGGAAGCCTGAGTAAAAGGACACCCAGAAGGACCAAGAGGATGCCCCTTCGAAGAACACACGCCCCTTGCCATGATCTTCACCACTTGAAGCGGCTGGCTTCCCGTGGGCCCCCTGCTCCCCGAGCCTCCGAGTTGCTACGGTGTGTCACTGAATGAGGATTTGAACCCCAGCTTCTCAAGCCATGGGGAAGGTGGCCTGCACAAACATGGAGCCCAGAGGATTCCCTTGAAAAGGAATGTAGTCTTCCAGGACCCCTCGATCAGAAATCCATGTTATTGGATGGGAGTCACTTCCACGAACATGGCACCTAGCAGAGGGTCTCTACCTTAAACAGGAAAATGATCTCCACGTGTCCCACAAATGCGTCATGTTGGTGGATGGGAGGGTAAGGTGATTCACCTGAGCTCCCGCCAGGGCACCGCTGCCGAGCAAGCGGAGCCACAGCCCATCCCCGGCTCGGAGAAGCCGCTGGGCGCGAAATTGGTCTGGCTGTTCTCGCTCTTGCATCTAGAGGTACCTTCCCCACAAAAATCCTTCTTTTCAGGAAACCATCAAAACCCAGGGAAACAGCTGGTTATTGAAAAGAACAATGGTTGAACAGACTGGGGAATCAACCCCTAGATAGAGGGTCACTGAAAGGAAACCAACGACTCCAATTCGATGCATTTAGGGCCAAAGAGTCCAAATCACATCTTGTGAGACCCGCCAATGGGAAGCAGGGATCTAAGTAGAACCACTGGTTGATTGGGGGTGTCCCCTTTTAGCGGGGATTCAAGGCACTTGTGGGGGACACTCGCTAAAAGAATAGGACCAGAACCTAGGTGTGTCTTCATGAAATGCTTGGTAGCTTTTTTCTCCGGCGGGGTCACTTGACAGGCCAAGGTGGGTTGAGTGGGTTTTCCAACCCTTTTTGGGAGGTCTCCCCAAGATCTGGAAAAGGTCTGAGACCACGAGACCATGCCCAGGTGGGGCATCACTCACAACAAAGACAACACCTTCAAGTGCGGGGCCGCGGGCAAGCAGTACTGCTGTGTGCGTGGCAGCCAATACGACGCCGAGCAGGACTGACTTCGCACCAGAAGGGTATGTGGCCCTTGTCCTGGTTTTGCAAGGCTCCTGGGTCGCCTAATAAACAAATGGAACCACTGGTGCGGAGATTTGGAGACCTCGGCTTTCGGGTTCAGGCGCTTGTTTCTCGGGGATCGATGCCTCGTGCGCCCAGGACCTTTGCGGTCCATCCAAAGGCCACGAGGCGGCTTTCGCGGCGTGCGAGTGAGGGTGTCTTGGGAAAGGAAACACCAAGACAAAAAGCCCGGAAGCCCCATGTTTTGAGGCTCCCCTAGAAGGCGCATCTCGAAAAGCACGGTAGAATCATACGGGCGTGGCTCAAAATTCAACGATCGGAGGGGCAAACCGCAGGTTTTGGTCCATGTTTCCACTTACCCGGGTTCCATTTTAGTACCGGTTTTTCAAGCCACAGCCATATCTGATGTTTGAGGCTCTTGGAGACCAACGGACAGAGGGTCCACTGTGTGTCGGGCGTTTGCAGGAGGCGCCGCCTTCCCCGCAAGAAGAGATTGACAAGTTCCAGCTGGCGCAAAGAGCCTTGGGTGCAAAGCACCGTTTTTCCAGGGAGCTGTTCGCATCCCGGTAGATGAACTCAGTTGAACGTCGCCCAGGGAGGTTTTCGGTGTGTCATCAGAGTCATTCACAAGCAAAGATGGAACCAACAGGGTCCCTGAAAGCTGGTCTTCCCAAGTGCCTTTCAGGTTTGGGCGTCTGGGTTGCGCACACTACTCTCCATGCTAAAAAAGTTGATTTGTTGCGTACTCCAGTCCATGAATTTCTGCAATTGCTTTCTCGCGCAAACACTCAAAGGGTTGGGTTACAGGACATTCTGCAGACAGGTGTGTTAGGGGCCATTTCCAGTAGATTGTCCTGAAACCAAACCCTCAGACCCTCAAACCCTCAGACCCTCAAACCCTGAAACCCTTAAACCCTTAAACCCTCAAGCTTTCAGACCCTCAGACCCTCAGTCCTTCTTCCCTCAGACTCTCAAACCCTCAGACTCTGAAACTGTCAGACCTTCCCTCAAACCCTCCTTAAACCCTCAGACCCTTTGAACCACCGTGGATCCCTTTTGGCCGAG